GCACCACCTCTACTGCATGAAGTTCATTTCAGAGTTTGCAACAATCAAGTCTAGATCTGCTACCAACAAAGCTTCGAACATGATCTATAGCCACACATCTCAGACGTGTTTAGCGGGCCATACTGTTATGTGTCATATTTTGAAGCTCACCAGTATCGTTTGTTAGTTTAGTCAATTTGTTGCATGGTTTTCAAAATGGGATCGGACTGGACGGTCAGATTGAAAAAATCGGGAACTAATCAGGTGATCGGTTCTGTTTTTCCCAAAAATTAGATTTTTCCCCAAAACTGTTGATCTTGGTCAGCGAATCGCTGAATCGGGTGGTTAACTGTTCGAACGGTTTTAACCATTTTTTATTTTTTTGAATCTTTTTTTATTTTTTTGTCAGAATGGACCGAGTGTTTGGTTCGAACAGTTAGATCGTTCGACCCGATAACTGGACCCCTAACCGGTTCGATTTTAAAAACTATGATTTGTTGTGCACAAAATAAGGTTGTTAGTGTTCATGTTAGTAAATTTGTTATCCTTTCTAGGTTTTAGGTTATGCTGATCTAAAGTAGGTTTTAGATGTCAACCCGTTTAGATACTTAAATGGTTCAACTGCATTTAGAGTTATAAAAAATAGCAAAGTAGATTTTGACTGTTCAGAGTCAAAGATCACATTCAAATCTATTTTGCTTTGAAAAAGAGTTTAGTTTTATTTTGAAGAAAAGCATTTTTAATATCACCAAAATAATTTTGTTAAACTCAAATCAGACTGCATTGGATGGTTGGAATGTGAGAATTGGGAACCAACAGCCAAAATTATTTTTAGGTACGGGTGCTAATCAGGTACCCAATTTGAAGAATTTACACTGTATCACGCCCGGGTCAATTGAAATTTTAACAATTCCCCAACCCAAACCCACCCAAGCTAATTTTAGGTGTCACCATTCTTACAAATGTTGATACATGTGTGATACTGTTTATACTTCATAATATTCATTGTTTTGGCTTATTTTGATCTAGGGAAATTGTCTAAAATTCACCATGAGTTTTCAATATTTCTCTTAAACTCACAACTTTTCAAAATGTCTAAAACTAATCATGTCAGTAAATTTTTATTTTCCAAAATTCACCTTCTGTCAGTGCACCGTTAATGCTTCTTAACAGAGGTGTCCATGTCAGCATAAATAACAATTTTCATGACCAAATTACCCTTGAATGGTGAGTTAGAGGAAAAATGGTCTTTTTTCAGTTTTCAATTTTCTTTTTTTTTTGCATTTTAGTGTTTTGTGATAATTTCTGTTTTTTTTTACAATTTTCTATTTTCTACAATCTATAAAATTTCCTGTATTTTGTTATTTATTTATAATTTCTATGTTTTTCTATAATTTTTTGTGCTTTTTCTACAAATTTTATTTTCTAATTTGTTTTTCAATTTCTATAGTTTCTATAATTTGAAAATAATTTTTTTTTATTTTGTTTGAAATTTCTATGTTTTTATGTATTTTATATTTGAAAATATTTTTTTGAAAATTTCCTTTTTTCATGTCTAAATATTAAAATGGTAATATATTAACACCCGTTAATTTATTTTGTATATATTTTATATTTTTATATGAAGGTTAAAATGGTAATATATTAACACCCGTTAGTCTGTTTAACGTCAAGTTAGTAACATGGTGAGTTTTAGACATTTTGAAAAGTTGTGATGAGTTTAAGAGATATACTGAAAATTCATGATGAAATTTAGAAAATTTCCCTTTGATTTAAAATATTTTTAAAAGACGTATCTACCCTTGTAAAATGAGAGTTTCTAAAGTGAGCGGGGCTTTAAACAAGATAAGAAGGGAAAGGTGTGAGGACTGATAGCATTCCAATAGAAGTTTGAAAATATACTGAAATAGTCCTACTTTTACCGACTAAATTATATAATAAGATAATGAAAATAAAGGAGATGCCAAATCAATAAAGAAAAAGATCATTGTGGTTTCTATAGTTTAAAACAAATGCAATATACAGAGTTATAATATTTCTTGTTGGATTAAACTCATAAGCCATACTGTAACTTTGGGAGAGTCAGAGCAGAAACCAATTTGATTTTATTAATACAGGGAGATTGGCAGATGAAGTTATTTCTTGTTAAGGTGATTGACAATCAAGTTCAGAAAATAAAGGGGATATAATATAATGAGTTTTAAAAAGGCAAGAAGTGTTAAATAGGTATATGGACTTGATCAAGGACATATTTATGAGGGTGCAACAATTAATGTTAGAACATGTGGGAGAGACATCAAAGCTTCACCAAGAATTGAACTCGACCCTTATTTATTTGCAGTATTGATGGATGAATTGATTAAACATGTTTATGAATTTTTTTTGACAATGAAATAGTATTAATTTATGAAGCAAAGAAGGATCAAATGTAGAATTACATTTATGGATGGAAATTTCCCTCGTAAAACTGGGGCCCCACCCTGCCCCAAATGGGTGGATTTTCTCCGACCTTAAATGGGGACGAGGCAGGGATGGGGAAAATATTTTTGCTCTGAATTAGGGATGGGTTTTGCATATAATTCCCTGAACCCTCTCTGAGCCATATGGTAAATTAGTAAAATATTTTTAGTTTTAACATTGATTTTTAAAATATCTCTAAGTTTTCCTAAAATTCTTAAAATCTTAGGATCCCATAATTCCATTTCTAAAGTACCCCCAAAGTGTATTAATCCAATTCCTAAAATATCTCCAAATTTCCATAATCCTATTTGTAAATTATCCACAAATTAAATAATTTTTAGGTGGTTGCCTCGAGGTGGGAAAAATTTGGGGATTCTTTATCCTCGATTGGGATGGGGTAGAATATCTTGACTACAGGGCGGGAAAATTCGGAGATTCTTTGTCCTCGACTGGGATGGGGTAGAATATCTTAATTATAAGGTGGGGGCGCCCCACCCTAAACCCGCCTTCTTGCCATTCCTCTTGTTTTGATAATCTATAAAAAAGGAGAGATTGTGGAAGATGTTATCCAAAGGATTAGAGTCGGATGGGGCAAAATGAACACATATAGAGTCATATGTGATAGGAGAATACTACTCGGAAGGAAAGTTTTATAAAATAGTTATAAATTAAGCTAATTAACGATCTCAGTATCAATCAAAGTGTTGGGCATTGAAAGAAACAATATATCCAAAAAATGAGTGGTGAAAATGTGAATGTTAAGAAGAGTGAGTAAAGAAAAAAAAAGAAGAGAAGACAGTATTAAAATTAACTTATTTAAAAGAACTAATGAGAAGCTCAATTATTATCATTATCATTATCATTCAAGCCTTATCCCAACTTTGAGTAGCTCTCATGAATAATAAAATGAAGGAAAACTGACTAAAAAGGCTAGAAGTGACCTATCACAAGTTGAAAAGGGTAGAAGAACTAAGGGCAGGACAAAAAAGGATGTGAGTTTAAGTAGTTTATATGATTTAAAGTCCCACAATTTAACAACTAATTATATATATAGTGATGACATAAATAATTAGAGCAGAGTTCACATCTCCGCCCCACAGAGTCGCCCCACAGCACATTTGTATTGAGGACATCTCCCGATGATGACATCATCAGGACTGATACTATCATCGGGAGATGTTCCCAATACACGGTGGAGATGTGCTGTGGGGCGTTGTGGGGCGGCTCCTTGTGGGGTGGAGATGTGATCTCATTAGAGCAAGGCTTTGGTGATGATGATGATTTCTATTTTTGAAGACAATAACTTACATATTTGAGCATAAGAACATGGTTTTTATAACCGACCCGAAGACCGAACCGGTCAGGGGTCCGGTTACTGGGTCGAACTGAACGGTCGACCTGTTTTGATAAAATAAAAAAATAAAAAAAACTTAAAAAATAAAAAACGGTCAAAACTGTTTGAACAATTCGAACGATTAACTGCCCGGGTCAGTGGTTTATTGACCAAAATTAATGGTTTTTTGAGAAATCCCGGTTTTTCCAATCTGACCATCTGATTTGGTCCAATTTTGAAAACCATGCATTAGAAAACTTCAATTCCCTTTTAAAAATGAAGCCTTCACATAATAATACGAGTACATGAGATGTCCTCTCCCCCTCCCCCCTCAAAAGAAAAGAAAAAAAAAATATAATATATGGTAAAAAGTTAGTCATTTTCAAGGTGTAACTTGTGGTTGGTGCATGTCAACTCGAACCTACTTTTGAGCTTGTTTAGGGATGGCAGTTTTCCTTATCTCCATTGGATTATTTGGCTTCTCTGACCCGATGGGGTCAACGATGGAGATTGCCTTGGCAGGGATGGGATAGGTATGGGGGATTAATAGTGGTATCTAATCAGGGATGGGAGCGAGGATGGGGAGTGAATTTCCTGCCCTGCCCCAACCCTGATTATATATATAACATACATTATATATTATATATATAATATTATTTATATTATATATCAAAAAATATTTAAAACATTGTTTATATTTAAAAATTTTCTTTATTTTAAGTAAATCTATTTTCCATAAAAACTTTTAATTAAAAATTTCAAGACTTTGGGTCCCCAATTAGGAACTCATCTCTGTTAGGGATCAAGGATGGAGGATCACTTTTATCCCCGAAGAGATCAGGATTGGAAATGTGAATTTATTTCAAAATTGGGGTCGGGATGAAGAATACAGTCCCCACCCCAAACCCGTCCGTTGCCATTCCTAATCTTGACTAGATTTCATTGTATTGGATAGCTTTGATTAGCGTTTAACCAATCCAACTTTCAACCTAAACATAACCTTTCTCTCTCTCTCTATCTCTATCTCTATCTATCTATCCATATACACAATCATGTATAATTTATTATACCCTCATTCAATGTTCTTAAATATTTTATGTATTTTTAATTTTAATGAAACCCAAGTGCAAAGAAATCTTAAATTTTCATCTTGCATTTGTCAGGCCTAACCTGACCTGGTTTTTCTTAGGTTACGACTCGAGCTGGGTTATTGCACTAATTGGATTGGCGGTTGGGTTTGGGCAGACCACAACATGACCCAACCTCGCTAACCCGGTTCAACCTGGCTAAACTAAAGTTGTACCCCCTGTCAAAGTATCAAGGACAGGGGCAATAAATAGGGGGAGGTCATAGATTGGTACGTTGTATGTCGTTGGAAAAAGTAACGGATTCATGATGAATTGAGCAATTTCACCTATTGTTTCTTCGTCATTCTCTGTCTTTGTCTGTCATTATTGTCTCTCTACCAAAATAACTATACAAAAGTATAAGTAGTTTATCTTATGTTCTATATATCCGAAAGATAATTTGGAAAAAAACAATTGAGAGCTTATTCCTGTGCATGAAACGTTACCCCACCTACTCAGTTGATCAGGCTGTTTTTTTTCAAAGTTTGTCTGAGTTTCCAGGTGGTGAGTAATGACTTATGAGTGCTCCAGATGCACTCTATTGAGTTGGTCTTCTGCCTTCATAACCGAGACTTTGGTCTTTGTTTTGACCCCACTCTATTGAATTGTTGGGTCTGCCTTAATTAGGTTTTGGGTCAGGTTCGTACTGAGGTAAATCCATTGTTATGCCCTAACTGTTGATAAATTCTAGTCTAGTATTCAAACATTTGTATATATGGCCTTGGTTTCGTAGTATTTAGTATTTATGGGATTCAATATTACATTTGTCAGACTGGGTTGGGTTTGAGTTCATTGGATTCAGGTTTGAGCCAAGATTGTGGTTTTACAATCCGTACGGGTACGGATAATGTACAGTATTAGGTTAAACCAAATCCTCTTCGACCTGCATATTGTTAGAGAAGGCATATAAACTTACGTATTAGGTGTTGAATTTAAAAATATTTTGAATTTTTGTGAATGATATAATTGATAATTTATGTGTTTTCATCAAATAATTAGAAACTTTGATGTTTGTTTATGTTATTTTATTCCTTTATTGCCTACACATAACGTAAATAATGGGAAATTAGATATAGATTCTAACCCAATCCTCTCACTCTCAAATGTAGGGAAGGTTTGGATTTTAAAAATCTAATTCAATACAGGTTTTGGGAGGGTACAGATTTGGAAGCCTAGGGAGGTGAGCAGGGTCTAGAATTTATAATCTCTTCCCAAACCAACCAATTGCCATCCTAGTTAACCGAGACTTTTTAACTTTTGCAATCCAGATTTGTAGCTGAATTTGAAATGATAGCAAGGGAGTCATTTTATTCGTTGTTTTAAAAGGCTTAAGCCTTGAGGTGTGAGGCTTACGCCTTGAGGCAAGGGGCATAGATTTTGCCTCAAGGCTTAAGCCTAAGAACTTTGATGTGAGGCTTAAACCTTTGTTATAATAAGGCATAAGCCTCAAGCCTCAATGTGTGAGGTGTAAAAAGGCGTAAGCCTCAAGTATCAATGAATATTTAGTGATTTAATGCAAAAAAATATTTTATACATTTTTATAGTTCAAAGTATATATTGAAGAATCACTTCAATAATTATGGGACAAATAAACAAAAAATAGTAAAAATAAAAAACCAATAGGGGAAATTAAGCTCTATTAGTTTCTCCTAGTGTTTAAGTAGAGTTCAATGCAATAAGGGTCAATCAAGTTCTTTGTTTATATTGGATATATCAAATGAGATTTTTTTTCTTATTATTTAATTCTAAATCTAACATCCCAAGCTTGTTATTTTTCTCATTTCTTTTCCTAATGAATTTATTTTCTTTTTATTGATTTTTGCATAGATCAAATTAACTAAGTTTGTTTCTTTCTTCTAAACTGTTGAATCACCATAAATCTAATATCCAATTATATGAGTGATTCTTCACACGTTTCCTTTTCTTCTAAATTGGTTATTTGAATTATTTGAAAACTTTGCATATTGAAACATAAAATTAATGTAAAATGTTTATAATTGTGAGCTGATTAGTTATTATATTTTATTTAATGCTTAAATGCTGAAACTTATTGCTTATAAATTTTTATTTTATGGACTTCTATCATTTTAACTTGGTATATTATTTGTTATTTTTATCAATTTATAAACTTTAATTATACCTCAACTATGCTCTTAGCCTTTTAAAACCTTGATTTTATTTTCATGGAATTGAAGGGGAAAAGGAAACATTTTACTTTATTTTCAAATCCAAATTTAGTTCTGTTTCTAGGATGTAGATCAGTGCTACTAAATTCTCAACTTTATATACCAACTAGACTCTAGATTCCTCCAAGAGGTTTCTCCTCTTGGTTTTTCTCTAAAGATCTTTGTTGAATCTTTTCTTCTTCTTCCGGCGAACCCCTCTCCCTGTTTTCTCTTCTTGGGGAGTCTCTCTCTCTATTTGTTGCTCATCTTCTTTTCTATTTCGTCTTTCCATCTTCTCTTCCCTTCTTCTGCCTTCCCATGGGTGATAATGTGATATTGCATGGTGGCCCAAGAAGCTTTATGGGTTTCCGGCAATACTACATACCTTACCTTTACAGATCGATGTTAGATGAAATTAATATCTTTCGGTGAAAAATTCATACACCCTTTCCTTTTTACCTCGCAACAAACAAAGCCTAGCTTGGGGTAAAATAATGAAAATTAATATACGTAGACGCCATTTACTCAAAACAGTTCAGGGTCAATATCAAGGGCCTGGGGGCTATAAAATTACAATACAAAATGTGCAGATGAAGCCTTCAATTGCGCTGTACTGTACCTTGTTATAACAGAGCCATGGAGTTCCTTCACAAGTTGATCATGAATTTGGTAGTTCCACCTGTTGGCCTCATCATTCTGTGTCTCACCCTCCCTTTACTCCTCATTTATAGGTTCATCCGTTCCATCCTGACTTTCTCAAGCCAAAATATCGCCGGAAAAGTTGTTCTCATCACCGGAGCTTCATCGGGAATCGGGGAGGTCCACACTTGACATAAATTCAAATCATATATATATATATATATTTATATATTTATTGCTTCATGATATATATAAGTATTTAAGCAATTTGATTTCTGATTTTGCATGCATGCAGCACCTGGCTTATGAGTATGCGAGAAGAGGAGCTTCTTTAGTCCTTGTTGCTAGAAGAGAGAAGAGCCTTAGAGAAGTGGCTGAAAGAGCTCGGCAGCTTGGGTCGCCTGATGTTCTAGTTATTCGAGCTGATGTCTCTAAAGTTGCTGAATGCAAACGTTTTGTTGACAGAACAATGGACCATTTCAGACGAAGTAAGAGGAGTCTGAATTTCTTTAATTACATATTGTTTGTAATGGCGTTTAACTAATAAGGATCTGATGATTTGATTAATTTGCAGTGGATCATCTGGTTTGTAACGCTGGGGTCTATAACTCTCACCTGTTTGAGTGTGGAATTAATGCAGAAATTTCCAAACCAGTGATGGTAATTAATTAATCAATCCCTGCATGAACCACAGATCAATAATCAATGTGAGAGCTCAGTTATATTGTTCCTGTTGATATTGTGCAAAACCAGCTAATTGTGATTTGGATTAATGTTTAGGATATCAACTTCTGGGGATCAATCTATCCAACTTATTTTGCTATTCCTCACCTCAAGAAGAGCAAAGGAAAGATCATCGTCAATGCTTCAGTTGCTGGGTGGGCCATCTCACCCTGGGCAAGCGTGTATGGTGTAAGGAATCTGCTGGGAGATGGATGAGTGATTATTATACTATACTATACTAGTGTTATGAATGTTCATCTTAATTTTCTTTTCACTCTGGTGATCAACTTTGAATTGCTGATGATCTTCTATCTGTTTCAGGCAAGTAAAGCTGCACTGATCAACTTTTTTGAGACATTGAGACTGGAGTTGGCACAGGAGGTTACAATAACAATAGTTGCTCCTGCATTTATACAGTCAGAGATCACACAAGGAAAGCACCTAAACAAGGAAGGCATCCTAGAAGTTGATCCAAAGCTGAGAAAGGTAAGCTTATCCACTATTTCACTGTTACATCTGATTTTTTAATTTATTTTACTTTTAGTTACTTAGTTTTAAATTTCAATCATTCATGAAGTTGGTTGCCAATGTCACCCTATAGAGCCAGGAAAAATTAATTCTAGCCAGTATGGGTAGGTCAAACCTGTATTTGTATATGCGTGCCTTGAACACCATTGATCTGGAACATCATGTGGGGCCATAATGTTTGATGTTCTGAAAAACACTGACTGAGATGGTCACTGGGTATGGAATAATAGATAGGAATGTCAATTAATTACTCGGGTTTAATGGTAAATTGTTCTTGCTCCAACCCTATCAGTTTGTTTGGAGCAGACTCAGTCGGGTGTGGGTATGTTTGGATTAAATGAATCTAACCTGCAGCGTGTTCAGGTCATTGTGTCCCCGTCCCACAGTACATCACCACAACGTCCCACACAGTACATCCCCGTCGTGTATTGGGAATATCTTCCAATAATAATCCATATATCATTATTGGGAAATTGATATTCATGTGGGGGGCTGATTTGAACTCCATATGTAAAGGGGTGTTATGTTAGTTTTCTACAAAATACAATAAGATATTCATGAATCTTTTATAAAAGTTGATAGTGACATTGAGATATCTGTAAATATATTCTTCACTAATAACAGGGTGGGGTGGGTGTGTACTGGTTGAGATCAACCTTATAGGCATGGTTCAAAGTATCGATACACCCCAAAAATCACTATTCTTTATCTTTTATATTTAGTTTTTTTTTGAAATTTTCACAAGAGATTGGTCTTAGGCCTAACTATCCCCTGAAAATCATCAAAACCGAATATGATACACTTGATATTCCCTGATATGTGACAAAATTTTGAACCTTACCTACAAGTGGATTTGATAACTCTGTATCAATAAGTTTGGCAATCCATACCTTAGGGTTGAGGTCGGGTTGAGTTAAATCATTAGGCTGTGTTTGGTTGCAATGCAAATAAATTTACACTGGTGCAAAACCATGGTAGTAGTGCAAATGATTTAAGCGTAAATTCTCACCTATTTTTGTTTCAAAATTTAGTCTATTTTATTTGATTGCAATACAAATGAAGTAAATTAAGACATGAAGTAGAATAAAGTAAAATCCAAAACAAAATTAAACAAGAATATAATTTGCATTTTTTACATTTGCACTTCCATGCATTTGTACTAGGGCAAATAAATTTGCACTGCAACCAAACAAAGACTTAATATCAAACCAGACCAGTTTATGAGTTTACAGTTACCCTCATTATGTGCTGTGAATGTAAATCTTACAAATCTTGGGTTAACCTAAGGCTGCAACATTTACAGCCTATGTATATTGCTTTGGTCCAGTACTACTAACATATTTCTATACCACAAAATTTGTTAAAAGGTGGGTAAAATCTACTCAATGACAAAGAAATTATGTACAATTTTAGGCATAAGCTATTGTTTTGTTTAATGCTTCATTTATGAAAAACACTAGGTGCTTGTTGATAATGTATTTAAGCTTCAAATCTAGAAGACTTTAAAACTACATGCTAAACTCAACTTGAATAAAAAGGGGGAATGCAATGGTTGCAAAACTACATTAATTAGTCCAACTTGGGTGTTTCTTGCCTGGATAGATGGGCCTTGTCTCAAATTTCAAATGTTTCCAGATAATACAAAGTGTTGTCATTTACAAGAATTGATGATTGATGATGAAAAACTTGGTTATTTGATAGATCATAAATAGCAGATTCCAAGTTAAGAGTGCAGGAGAATGTGCAAAAGCCATTGTGAATGGGGCATGCCGGGGAGAAAGATATGTTGTAGAGCCATCATACTACAGGCTGTTGTTCCTCTTCCATTTCATGTGCCCTGAGATTGTTGAATGGTTTGTCCGCTTAATTTGTAGAATTAAGCCGATCATAAGCAAGAGCAATACCAATGGAATCAACAACTAAATTAAGGCTGTGTTTGGAAACGATGCAGATAAGTGTGAAAGCAAATATGTAGAGTGTAAAACAGTCCATATAAATTGTAAAGTTGGGTTAGTTTTGCACTAATAAATTTATCTTCTTACCAAACAGACTTTTAGCTGTAATGGATGCAAACATGGATTCCAATAAAGCATATGCTTTTTTTTTATCAAAAACCCACTTGAATGCAAATTTACTTTTTTTTATTGATATATTTTTACATCTTATTATCAATGTAAATATGCATTGGTCTGTCATTTGTCAATGCATAAATGTAATGTTGCCAAATACAGTCAAAAGTGAACCAAAGTGCAAATTTACCCTGAATCGGGATTTACACTCCATTTGCATCATTTCCAAGCGCAGCCTAAGTTTCAAGTAGATCGATGCTCTTTAATTATAAAGGCTCATTGTTCTTGATTTGATTGTTTCTCATATATATTTTATTATAAAATTCATACCTCAGAATTAACTTGCTTGATGCCAAATTTATGGCTTGTATGAATTGGTAAAGTCTTTTTTTTTTTTGTGTTACTTAGGGCGAATTTGGTTCACGGGAATAGGGGTTTAGAATTGGAATCGGAATGGGCCATTTTAATTATATTCCATCTGTTTGGTTGGGTGGAATTGGAATAGCCATTCCCTCTCCTTCTCTTGAGAATAAAATCCCATTCCAATTGATTCTAATTTCTATTCTGATTCTTGTCTAAACCAAACAGACTATGTAAATAGACCATTCCAATTCCGGCCACTTATAGTGGCTTTGTTAATTACAGAACTCATCTAGATCCTACTTCCACCAAAAGACAAGGCACAACATTGCAACCATGTATATACAACAATCATGTTTTCTTGGTACTAGTATTAAAAACTAATTTTCATACAAAGGGTTTACATAACTTTTAAAAGGATACGACACTGTTGAGTTTTTTTTTTTCTTTTCTTTCTTGTTAATGAACAATATGAAGAGAAGTCTAGTGCAAAACTTGCTAATCATCCATATCAATTTGTGCTGGTCATGAGATATGACAACATACCAAAGTGCTAGGGATGCACATTTTGTTACAATGATAAAAAAAGTTCATGAAAATCCAAAATAATCTTCAAATTGAATTCAAAATGTTGTAATTGCTTCATGTGACAAATACAATTCCCACGCATCATAATCTGGATTTAACTGTATATAGGAGGGGTTATTCAATATTCCAAATGCATTCTCTCTAATTTAGTATTATTAGAGAATGATCCATGATCTTGAGTCACCATTTAAATTGGGCAATCCAATGCCACGTTGTATATCTTAACTTGTTATCTTAATTCTTAAGGTTGGATTGATCAAAATACCTATTATGGAAGTTAAAAATGTCAATGGACCGGATATCGGTCCAATCCGATCCAGTCCAGTATGGATTCATTATAAATGGACCAGGTTCAATCTAATCTGATGAATACTTTGAACCATTTTGGACTGGTTCATCAATTTAATGTATGAACTATCCAAACTATTCAAATTGATTTTAATTTAGATTGGGTCCAACCCAAATTATATTCATTGACACCCGTACTCTTATCTTATGTCAATGGACCAGATATTTGTTCGTTCTGACACAGTCCAGTATAAAACCTTTACAAATGGACCAGGTCTAATCCAATGTAATAAATACTTTGGACCATTAAGTCTGGACTTGTCCAATTTAATGTCTTATTGTCCATCCAACCTGCTCAAATTGATTTTGATTCAAACAGGGTCCAACCCAAATCCAGCTCATTGACACCCCTAATCACATACAAGTCATTCCAGCTTTGAGAGTTTCTGGATACATTGAGGGCTTAATATCTATGCCACTAGATATCGCCATGAATCATTATATGAACTTTCGTAACATCATCAATTTGGAATTCATTGAGTGGAAATGACAAGATCAACTTCTTTGGAGTAGTTTTTTTTTTTTTTTTTATCAAGTCATGAGCTTGTAAGGAATTGAAACATGCTACAAATTTTCCCCATTAATCTAGTAGTACTAACTTATAAGAAGTCAAAAATAAAAGGGCTTACCTGTATGCATCCTTCTTTCAGAGGAGGGGCCAAGAGTGCCATATAGACCTCTTTATATTCCTACTCCCTCATGGAGTGTGAAGAGTTCTAAATAAAGCACATTTTACAAAACATTAGTGCCTCATCCGTTTTCCGGGGAGTAGGGGTGGATAAACTGGTAAGTCCCATGGAAAAGAAATAAATCCGCGTCCGTTTTTTAGTATTAGTGGGTCTTACAGAAAAGAATGATTCCCAAGTAGCTCATTTATCTGGAGAAAATAATACTCTCATCAGATTTGGACAAATTACTTACCCATGCATGTTGAAAATCACTAATACATGATAGACAATATTGTCTCTTCAATAATATCACTTTTTTTTTGGGATAAATTGATCATTTTACATCTTTACTTAGAAATAAAAAACACTGTAAGTGCTCTTATCTGAATAAGTATTTCTCAAGAAACATTTGATTAAGTACATTTACCCAAGGGAGTCATTTACCTGACACACAAACGAGGAGTAAATTTAACATTCACCCATTTGATATGTAAATTTAAACTTAATGTTAGAAAACGGTGCATGGGCTGATATAAAAACACTTGGGTATTAACTTAACAGTATCTAGGGCAATGACAACACTACTACTAAATCATACATGGAAGTCGATACATTCTCCAAATAGAAAGGTAGGACCATCCATATTCTTCCAAACAACCTAAAATGTCTTAAAAACCCGTATATCTCAACTAAGGTCTTTAGTGTTTCACTTAAAAACCTTTATGCTTTAACCTTGAGGCTTGAATTTGTTCCAAAAGGAACCTTGTGTTTGGAGCCAGTATGTATCAAATCTAAAACATTTATGTCCCAAACAAGACCCTTATATTTTAGACAGAAGCCCTTATGTGATCATAAAATGAACAAGTGCCCAAAGTTGATTGTAGACTAATCCCTTTTGAGCAATATACTATTTAAAAATTTTAGGAGGTACTCATTTAATAAAATGGATCAGCTAACATCTACCTTGTACTGAAATGCTTAATGGACGTATGATGATCTCATGGTCCACATATGAATAACAAATCACCTCAAGATGATCATATTGCATGAATGAGTATGAAATCTTTAGGCTATGTTTGGTTTGAAGGAAAAGATAGGGAAAGACAGGGGAACCAATACAAGGTTTGTAAAGGTTTTTCTACCTTTTCCTGCATTTTCCTTCAAACCAAACATAGCCTTAGTTCTTTGCAAGAGTCTCATCATTTTATTGACTATTTGAACATGTTCAAGGACTAGAAATAGTAACTGAAATGTGGACAAACTTGAGAGTATATCAAAGTACTAATGGTTGATGTATAAAACTCTCTATTTCCTCTCCAAGTTATTTTTTGGAGCAATTGAGATTTGTTATCTTTGTTGATGGGCATAGTTCCTTTCTAACCAAAACAGCAAATTGAACCCCCCTAAAAATAAGCCTTTTGTGACAAATCCAACATAACTATGCAAGAGATGCTCCATAAAAATCTCTTTTGGTCTCAAAATAGCAACTTGACATCATTTACATGCAGAAAAGAGAACTAATAAAATGAACTTACTTTAACTGATCCAAAAGATCTATACATTGATTAACTACTTTTCCCTTGAGGCTAAAAGATGTTGTTACCTTATGCATCTTTACCTAAAAGCTTGCCTTAATAGATTTTCTTTAATTTGCATTTCAAATGTTCATTCCCTGATATTTGAAAACTTTTGGTTGAACCATTTAAACATCTTTATGCAAATTTATACTTAGATAACATAACCCAACATATATGCTAGACAATTGGTACAGATATTACAAAAATGTAGGAGCTCCACTTCACTACCATTTAACATACCAAACCTATAAAAATCTTAAGAGTATCTGCAAGATTAAGCCTTCTGCACTCCTACTTTGTGTGTGTCATTGTCCAGAACTGAAGGATGCAAATGAAGAGGTTCATCAATCCATTTGTACCCTGTTGGAGGGAGAACGACAACAAGTTGCAGCAATGTATGAACAACACTTTTAAGTCCCTTTCTCCATTATGTATATGATGGCTCTTTCTCCACAAGTATGGTGCAATCAAGACAGTCTGTTGGGGAAAAAAATGGCTTAAGAACACTGCAGCAAATTCTAGTACCTGATTTCTATATACTCCCTGCTAATGAATAGATTAAAGAACTGAAAAATAGCATTGACACTCCATGGACAATCAGATCATCTATCAAACAACTGAAAACCCTTCTATCATCATATTCAGAAGTAGTTGCTATATATTCTATTCTGCCATTGGTAGAAATGTTGCAGGGTTGGTCCTGGTTCTGCATTCTTCTGTCAACAGGGCATTATAGGGTGGCAGCTGCTGACTGCTGTTAAGTATGATTGCATATAATCATTTTCTGGAAAATAATCACCACTTTCTGAAGTGCTAGTGCTCTCTTCATCTTCTGGGATATCATCATCTGAAATATCATCTCCTGGCACATTATCTTCCTGAAAGTCCTCTTCATTTTCTGGAATACTCTCTTCATCTTCTGGGATGCCATCATCTGAAAAGTCATCCCCTGGCACATTATCTTCCT